CATCCATCCTCCGCTTCAAAGCAGCCACAATCTTCCATCACCAGCATTCTATATTTAGAATGTTGTACTCTCCCCACCTAGCCCTGTTCTTATGTTCAAAGTGGTCATGCAGTTTCTCCAAAGATTCATCTATATCGGCCTATTGGAGTACCTTACCATATTCCTCCCACATACAGCTGTGAAACGGTTTTCACCTTTTTGCAGACACAGATGCGGATCCCAGGGTTCGATCCACAACCCTCACCTTACCTTACCTACCTTACCTTACCTGTGTACAGTATCGAGTCGACCCTGTGAGTCTTGAACCCGTGACCTGTGTGTTAGTAGTTGAATTTGTCTGTCGTAGGTCTGAGTAGTTGTAGAGTCTTGAACCTTAGACCTGTTGAAGCAGGGGTCACACCTACACAGGGGTCGTAGTTATTGTAGTTCTGAAAGGTCAAGGTCGTAGCTGCTGCAGTCCTGAAAGGTCAAAGTCGTAGCGGCGACAGTCTTGAAAGGCCAAGTCCGCAAACTTCCGGAAGGTCCGGAAGTGGCCTTTCCAGTTTCTTCTCACGATTTACACAACAGGCCAGAGGCAAGTGGACAAGTGGTGAGTCCAACTTCGCTTAGTCAGCGGTACCCAGTCCCAGTCTTACTTTGTACAGTCCAAGTGGACAAGTGGTGAGTCCAACTTCGCTTAGTCAGCGGTACCCAGTCCCAGTCTTACTTTGTACAGTCAGCAAGTACCATGAGGGACTGTGTGCACCATGGGCCCGGTGGAAAAGGGCAGACCAACGACTTGCAGAAGTATAAATCAAGAGGCAGCGTCCAGCCATTCATTCATTCACTGCGTAAGCCATGCGGAAGCGCTGCCCCAGCGTCTTGTGCGAGGTGGTCTGCAGAGTGCCTGAAGTCGAAGTGGGCTGGAAGAAGATAGCGTAGCCATAGTAATAGTAGCGAGCGGCCATAGCCGCCATAGGTTAGAGATAGCTGTTAGTGTGGATGTGTGTGTGATACAGAGTGAGTGTGTGTGGGGTATTCAGGGTGATCCAGAGTTGGGTGTGTGCGGACAGAGGTGTTGGACACAGTCACGAGAGTTGGGATGTACCGGCGCTGATGCGCCATAGCCTGTTGAAGCGAGTTTGCATCTGAACTCTGTTCGTGGTTTCCATATCTCTGAGCTTTGAGTGGGCGCTTGGCGCCAGTGTGAATCGCCATCTGTTTGCATGTATGTGAAGCAAAGAAGAGAGCAAGTCTGATTGCAGCTGCCTCTGCAATTGCCCTATTCAGCGCATCACCCTCCAAACATGATACCACCATCAGGACTCCGGAGTGGTAGTCTATCTTCTGCGAACACAAGTACATACGGACCGATGTTTCCCACGGTTGTACGTTCTCATCTTACAACCATAGGAAGGGGGCGACTACACCGTAATTATGTCTTCGGAGCCATGCCCTAGCCCGTCCGTCTCACTTCCTCTCCTACGCCCCTTTCCATTTCCATCCCCATCAACTCCACCAGGGTCTCTTTGACCTCCTCCAAACATGATACCACCCATCAGGACTTCAGAGTGGTAGTCTACCTTCTGCGCACACGAGTACATACGGACCAAAGTTTCCTGCAGTTGTACCTTCTCATCTTACCGTTAGACGTAGGGGGCGACTACACCATAATTTTGTCCCTGGGGCCACACCCTTGCCCATCTGGCTCACTTCCTCTCCTACGCTCCTTTCCATTTCCATCCCCATCATCTCCATCAGTGTCTCTTTTTTTTCCTCCTTCCTTTCTCATTGCCTCCTTCAGCTTCTCCCCCAGGTGCTGCCCGTAGTTGCTGCAGGTGATATGCACCAACCTACAAGCTTGTCCCAGCATATTACTCCATTTCAAGGCTATCTCATCCAGCCTCTTAATAACTTCTTTGACAAGGGGCCCTCTCCCATCAACACAGTGAAACGACTGTTCCATTCTTCCATCCCCAGCAGTGAGTGGACCCCTGCTCTAGCGCTGGTTTCTGGCCTCTCCTTCACCTTCTCTTCTGCTCCTTTCCCTTCTCCTTCCTCCTCGTCAAAGTCTTCTTCCTCCTCCTCCTTATCTGTCTTTTCCGATGTCTTTTCTTCAACTTTTTCTTCTCCTTCTCCTCATCTTGCTTCTGCTGCTTTTTCAAACTTCTCCTCTTCTGGCTGTCGGACCTCCACTCCACTCCACAGGTCCATAGTGTGCATATGATGCATCTGAAAGAAACCAAGGGGGAATATCATCCACAACAGCGGCTGCTATGAAACGGAGAAGGCGAGAGGGGTAAAACCAAGTTCATCATCCATGGGGGTAGGTAAGTAGAATTACTGGTCAAGATCATGACTTTCGTTCCACTAAATCCTACCACATAAGACCCTAAACTCGCTAACCTAATTAATGTTGACGTCTACCCCACAGTTGACCCACTCAACGACTTTTAATATGGGGATGTGCTCGACAACCCGCTGTGGCCAACCGATAATTTAAGGGCAGCCAGCAATGTCCTCAGTAATTCTTTGACGACACAGAGAGAGCGATGTGGCCAGTCAGAGTCTCACAATTTCCCAACTAGACCTTCATTACTTAACGAGGACCAGGTACTGCTCCCATGATTTCCCATTGAGAGGTAGGGTCTCACGGGGTACTCATGCGCCCAGGTATGCCAACAACCCTAAACCACTCCCCGAAAACCAAGGAGGAGCCTTTACTCCAAAAGACATAACCACAAGATGCTTGCAACACTCTTTCCTACCCTAGACCTAATGACATCAACAAAATTGACACACAGCAGCTTTTCCCAAGGAAAGGCCGGCGGAATCCGAGGACATCAAAACGATATACAGGTTCATACAAGGCTAGGGATGAAAGGCACTTCACTATTGCTTGATGGTTCTCCACGAAGCTACAGTGAGTCTTCATCCTCCACGCTTGCCTCCAACCCCACCGGCCACTTCCACTTCAGCCTTCACCTTCCTGCAATCTGCCGGTATCCTTCCCAAAGCCGCAAAGTACAATCACTCACTGGCCTATTTCATGTGCCGGCACCTTCTCCAATTTGCTTCCTGAAGACAATGAGAGTTCGCTCTGATACCAGTGCAATGATCCCGCTCACTTCACATCCCTTCGGCAAACATGCATGCTCAGAGTTCACCCACACAAAGCTCGTACACAGAAGCAACGAGATAAAAACCACATGAGAACTCAAATTTATTATGGAAAGCTGAGTACGGACGCCGCAAACCGGGCGGGCAAAAAGACAGCCCATAATTTTTTATTTTTATTTTTTTGAAGGCGGGGTCCTCCTGTGCTCGGCGAGAGGACCCCAAATCTGCAATAAAATTCTGGTTTGGGGGGGGGGACGGGTTGTCTGGGTGTGAGAAGGG